TAAATTGATAATATGTATATATGTGATGGTCATATTATAAACATGTAACATTTATATATTGTATAAACTAGATAAAATAGAAGAAGTAACAAAAAGTTAAGTTCTAACTTGTATGAATCTACTCATCTTCATTCTTCAATATCTATTAAAAATATTTTATTTACTAAATTATTATTTTTTGGAACATGTATTTTTGGTATATCTATTTGTACCTATAATTACTAAGTGTGCGGGTAATCGGGTTGGGTAAAATGACGGGTCGGGTACTGAGTTTTTTATTAAACTCGTACCCGACCCAACCCGGCATGTGGGTATGGGAAAAAAACCCATGTATGGCCCGCGACCCTATATTTTCGGGTTACCCGACCTAATTTTCTAGGTTACCCGTGAGTAACCCGACCCAGTGGGTTTTTCTACCAAGCCTATTCGTGACGAACAAAATCATTATTAAATATAAAATTTCCTATAATGAAAATTATCAAAATTTGTTTTTAGACAAAAGTGTCTACACCATAATCCCACATATATATTTCCCAAATGTGTTGAGCTTAAGTAGCAGGCCCGCACGCTTTGAAATCCTATGTGACAAATTTTTAAGCTTTGTTGTTTGACTTTGATTAATTTTAATTTATTTCCAATACTAAAGTAGCTAGGCTTGGAATATCTATAACTATACTGGATATTTATGGTCCCTTTAAGAGCGTTAACTCTCAAGGACTCGGATTGGTCAACAGGAATTCAATCTATGTTTTAATAATATTTTCTTTTTTTTTTTTTTCGAAACGATAGAGGTAGTATATCAAAGCACAAAAGTGCAAAAAGAACAAATTACAAGACCCCAACAGGGTAATACCTAAGGCCCCAACAGGGTAATGAGACAGGGGCCACCAGCCCAAACCAAAAACACGCCTAAGAACCACAAAACAACAAACTGAGAGGACACGCACATGGCGGCCTAGATGACTCAATAATAAGAAAAAAAAGGAAAATGAAATACAGAGCCACTGCACAATGCCTAGCCTGAATTCATCTCCCAAACAAAAGCAAACGAACACACCACAAGACTCGACAAAACCACACAAAAAAACACTGAAACAAACAATCAAACATTGAACTAATCAAAACAAAGCAACATAACTAATCAAGCCCTTCCAAAGTAGCACACCAAACCGAACCAGCGGAAACAAAGCGAAGGTGAGTCCCACAGCCAGAAGTATCTATCCCGAAACTGCCCAAACCATTCGGTTGCCTAACGGTGTCGAAACCCTAACCCCAGGACAACACCAATCCACCCCGAACCAGGCCCGCAACACCATATTGCCCTGAATCGGACAAAAATGTTACGGCCCCGACCCAACCCCGAACCGCCTGGAAGTTGCCTTCAGCCAACGCGCCGCCGCGGCCCAACTCCGACCAACACCACTGGCGGAGAAGAAAACACGGCGACCCCTGCGCCTCAAAACCAGAAGCAGCGGAGAAGAAGGAGACGAAACGCAGCCTAGCCCCAATCGCCCAAATTAGGTCACCGAGCAATTGAGGCGCATCCCCCCCGAGAACCGCTCCACGGCTCCACTACCTCCCAACCCAGTCTTCACCGCCTTGAGATCCAGAGTCGGCGCCAGAAAAGGTGAACTCCGACTGCGGCCGACGAGAGCGAGCGCCGAGAGAGAAGGTAGCGAAGCAGAAAAAAATAGGGGGGGAGCCAAACGGCCTAGGGCCGGCGACCGCCGGCAGAGCTAGCGGCCAACTGAGGAAGGCCGGCGGGTTGAAATCTGAGCGACGAGCTGTGCGAGATTTGGGAGCGGCGAGGAGATATTTTGGGAGCGGCATAATATTTTCTATTGTAGACATGATTTATAAAGTAAGAATTTTTTTTCGCAATCTTTAATTTAAAATTATAACAAATTTACTAACTTAAATTATGAATATATTTAAAATTTAATAATTTTTCTTTATTTATTAACAAATTTTTATATATAATCTATCAAATTAATCATGCCTTGATGAGCTTCGATTTACCATTTATATTGCGCATATAAAATAAATAAATAATTTTATTTATTTTTATAATTAAACCTAAATTACCTATTATATTAGTTTAAAAATATTAAACTATTTAGACTACCTTAACTACAAAGTAATTATCTGATATAAATTTCAAAAAATTATAATATAAGATGGTAATCCGTATAAGAGCATCTCCAATGTTATAACTTTAAAAGACAATAATTTTTAGCACATGTCAATCAATGATTGTAATGTTAATCCATGTAGGAATAATGTTAAAAGAGTAGAAATTTGAATCAAACTATTATCTCCAATGCATCAATTTGATAAGAAGTTATTTGTATATGTGGACCAATTAAAATAATCATTAATACAGGAACAATAAAAAATTAAATCAAATATAAAGTGAATTGATTAGTCATCATGTTTAACATGGTGTTAGATATTAGAAAGTGTGTTCAACATTGTCAACATTAAATGCTATCCACCTCATCATGAAAGAGTTCATGACAAGATGCATGGGAGAATAAATTAGTAATACACTTTCAAAAGTTGATGATATGGATGAATTTTTATGAAGTCAAAAGTCACATTGGAGATGCTCTAAGTGACGGTGTCATTTTAAATATAAATAATTATATATTTTTTCAAAAAGTATTTAAAAAACTATAATAATTTTTGTTGTTATTATTATTTAAGTTTAAATATAATCTTCTTAACAAGTATCTGTGTAGTACATTGACACTGTACTAGTATTGTGATATAAATCATAATCTACTTTGGTTACTTCTCAAATTGCGAGCACAAGAATTTTGACTGTTGATTTCAAAATTTCATAACAACTTACTCAATATAATTTTAATTTAATATAATCAAATTCTGCATCTAATTATGTCATGCACATAACAATATTATTTGTTTAATTATTTTAATATGGTAAGTATCATTCCTTAGTAGTATAAATAGTTTAGTCCGAATACATCTATGTACCACAACAAAAGTCATATTTTTCTTTAGACCATATTTTGTGTATTACGAGTGGAGCACAATGTTCACTTATTGTCTCTCTCATTTTTCTAACATTTTGACTCTGGTTGTCACATTGTTTCTCATAACTAATCCAACTTGTTTTTGTATAAATTTGAAATTAGTAAATTCTTCTTATTATAATGGTTTCTCACAAGGAGTAGCAATATGGTATGGTGATCCACGAGGAATAGGAAGTACTGGTAATACATTTATAATATTTTGTGACAATTACATCTACTTTGACCTCTAATGTTTATAAAAAAAATTAAATTAATTAGTTTTGCAAATGCAATGAGATTCTTGGTTTGTTTAATGGTGATATTTTAGTGTGAATAAGGTGTGTTTCATTTCAAAACTTTTATTCTTATTGAGAAGTGATTTACAAGAAGCTAACTCATAGATTTTAGTTTCTTGTAAAGATAAGGGTAGTGTTAAGATTAACTTTGTGTATAATCCGTGCATGTGACAATCAATATGAATTGCATGATCCATATAATACAAATATTATATATATATATATATATATATATAGAACTTGGTTAAATTTAAAGCAAAATAATACACAAGTTGTTTTTATCTATTATATTATAAATTATTTCTTTCAATTTATTTGGTTAATGATTCGAGAAACAAATATGTTATTGTACCATGAGCGAAGAACCAAGTTGTTTTTTCTTTGAATATCACGAATATTTTGTTTATTTTAATTTTAAACTTAAATAAAACAACATATGGTATTTTATAGTCACAATTAATTACATTTGGTTGTTTCTAAAGTCANATCATCTCAATGCTTTGCTTTGCTTTTTTCGCGAGACAATATCTGTTATTAGACTCATAAGATTTTATATAATTTTGAACATATTATTTAGACAATTTTTTACACATTATACATGTCCACATACACATATACATATACATATGTTAAATATAAATAGTTTTAGGCATTTTAAAAAAATTTTAGATGACTTCACATCTTTCAATAATGATATTTAAAATTTTAGATACTTTTACATATGTTATATAATATTTTAGACGTTTTTAATACTTTAAACATTCATTTTTTTCAAATTCTTTTATACAAGATAATTATATATTGTTTACAACTCATATACGATAAATTATATTACATATGAAGTTTACATCTTTAATTTATAATTATTAGTTAATATTATTTAACTTCATCTTTAATTTATAATCATTAACTAATATTGTTTACCGTGCATCGCACGGGATACGCACTAGTTTGCTTATAATCTGGAAAGAAAAAAACTTATAGAATGATACAAATGAAAATAAATTTTCTAAGACATAAAATTAGAAAGTTGCTAGAGAGAGGCATATGTCATTAGGATGCATTAGCCAATTTTAAAACTAGACACATGATGTCTTTTTTCCTATAATTTTAGACCAAGCATGGGCCGTAGAATTGTGGCTCAAGCGTATCGGCTAACGTACCCAAGTTTCGGCCAGATGGGCTCGGCAGGTTCTAGTCAAAGACAAACTTTATCTTTTTGTAAGGGGTAAAACTGTAAAAGCACCACTGACTACTAGGCGGAAAACACGATACAATAACCAAGGGCAAAAATGGAAAATGGAACTACACTCTATATAACCCTGTAACTCAACAATTTCTCACGAATCACACGATCTCGTCGATCCGTTAGCCCAAAAAATGAGGCTACAGAGATCGGGATTTTTTCACCTAAGGGCGGTTGCTCGTCTTTGTACGCCGATGATTTTTTATATTTTTTTTTTCGAAAATCAACAGCCTTTAGAGTATGCTTGGATATAATATAGCAACCACAATGCTTTGGGTCTCTTAATATAAATTTTTGATTGGATATAAATTTTATCTTCAGATCTGCGATGGGTTTGGGGATTAGGGTTTTCGGAGGCTGTGATGATACCTGGTTGGTTTGTGCTAAATTTCAGGGCTAATGGATCGGGAAGAGGAACAAATCCTACCCGTATCTTGGCGGGGCAGGCCGGACGGCGTTGTGGCTTGGTCGCATCGCAACCGGTTTATTATGCAGCCATGGCGGTGTTGTTTTTTCCTCTTCCCTCTTTAACAGATCTGAGCCTCCAGTTTCTTTTATCTTTCCATTTTATATTATTTTATTTAATTATATTATTTATTATTGGATGTGGTTTACGAGCAATTTTACAAAAATTATTTTGAATTGCTTTTTGGTTGTCAAATTGACAAGTCTGATATCATTTAGTTAAAATTTAAGGGCTTGATTGTTTATGAAATAAGTTTTTTAAAAATGAGTTATTTTGGTTAACTATAATTTATATCTATTATTATATTAAAAGATTAACTATTTAACATTTTTAGCAAGTTTTTCCGGTCAAATACATTTAATGTCTCCTAAAAATAGAGCAGCATTAAATGTTGCCCTTAAATGGTAAACAAATATTATTTTTTTATGATTGATTTAAATTTATGTCTGTTTAAAAGTAAAAAATTATTTTTGTAATTTCAACAAATTTACTTTTAAAACTATTTTTGTAATTTCAACAAATTTGTACTCTTTAATGTACGGCTGATTTAAAATTAAGAATTTACTTTTATATTTTCACAAAAAATTGTATGAAGAAGTATGGCTAGAATAATAATAAAAAATTAATTTGTTAAACCATATTTTGCACTCATAGATACGAATTCTCATCAAATTCAAGATTTACAATTGTGAAGAATGTATATAGATGTGGACTGATTGAAGATATATGATTCCTTACATTAAGAAATTTTTTCCGGTAAAAAAAATATAAACTTTAAATATAGATTTTATTAGTAGTGTATACCAAATAATATTGTTACATTTAAAATTCATATGAAGAAGAATTCTATTCATTTTCAAATTCAACATCTCATAAAAATAATATAATACACTTTTACATTCTATGAAATAATATTTAAAACCCACCGTTCAACATGCATAAAATGTAAAATTACCTAACATGAATCATTTTAACTTTCTAAAATCAGTACACAATTTGCTTGGTATGTACTAATAGTCTAATAGTTAAGAGTTAATATTTGCTATGACATCTATTGGTTGGAAATAATTCCATTTTGTATGGAATTCGAAATAAAAAAAAAAAACATATTCTGAAAATCAAATCTGATTTAGAGATCGATTTCTTAATGGCCTTAAATTATGCAAATATATGGTTTCAGTTTTTTGGATTCTTTTTTATGATCTCAGTCTTTGCATTATATGAAATCTATACTTATATAAAAGCCATCCTATTTACTAGAAATAGTAGGTAGAAAAGTCAAAGGTAATTAATGTTTGCTGGAAATAGAATGATATTAATTACAAATTTGTTTTGGTATTTATAGACTTGACATTAAAGATTTGTTATAGGATAAAAATCAGAACCGATTTTTTTACCTTTGATGGAAAAGTCAAAGGTAAGTATAGATTTGTTTTATCCCATAACATCGGTTTAGTTAAGAAAATCCTATCAAATTAGTTTTATATGTCAAGCCTATGAATAAAGATTTAATGGGTCAAAATTAAATCCTTATTTTACGTCACCCATAAATAAAGTAGATGTCAAGCCTAAATTGAAGGGTTTAGTTGTCTATATAACCATTGATTTAAGTAAACACATCTAATTTTTAAAGTTTGTGTAGATTGAAAATTCCTTCTTATCTTTTTACAAAAAATCTTATTATTATTGTATGGAAAATCAAACTCATAATGTTGTGTACAAGGAAGACTTTAATAATATATGATTGTTTGTTTGTCGAATATTATCTTATTGTACAATTTTCCTGCGTATTATAAAATTTTTATTGAATATTGCATCTTATAATATAGTATTCCTCAAATAAATATATTCCGTGTCTCGCACGGGTCACGTACTATATATATCTCATACATTTTTCTGTATTCATGCATATAATTATAAGTCTGGATAAATAGCCTTAAAATTGTGCACCCCGTGCATCGCACGGGTTCTGTACTAGTATATATAATAAGAATTAATATTTATCAAAAATAGTAAGTCAATCCTTGGTTAAAACTTATCAACATTAATTACATGCCATTTATAGTATTTTTTTAATATATTGTTTTACTAAAAAATGGACAACATTAAATATTGTCCTGAAAATGAGGAGTTTGTTACTTTTTTATTTTCAAAAAAGTGGGCTGCTATTTAAATTTGGTCTATTGAATATTTGTGATGGTTTGATACGATGTGCATATCAAAAGCTGATAATGCACGTGTTGCATCAATTAAATTTGGTTATTGGTTACTATAAGCTATTTTTAAGTTTGAATAGAAATGTACGCCACGATTGCTAATTCAATTAAATATCGGCCAGTTATATTCTCCAAATTTAAAACCAGATATTCGGCTAATACAATTGCTTTGCTTGGCGATTTTTTTTAATAAAAAAATTACGACTGATTTAATAATAATAAAAATTATGTGTTATTTTTTCTAACCATAAAAATATGCTTTTGTATTTTCAAATATCGAAAATTTTTTATTTTCTATAAAATCGGCTAATACATATGTTTTGATTAACAAATTTTATTTAAACAAAATTACGGCTAATTTAAGGGTAAGAATATAAAAAAAATAAAAAAAATCATTTGTTTATTTCTTTTGAAAACATTTTTTCTAACCATCAAATCAGGCAGTTTCAATTAAAACAATTAAGTTGCGGCTAATTCAATTGTTTTGTTTGACAATTATTTATAACGAAAAATACTACACGGGTCTAATTTTGAAACGATCAAAATTTTTATGGTCTTTGTTTAAATCAGAGATTTGAAATAGCAATAATCTCCATATTTAAATTGTTTTAATTTTAAAACGTGATGTATACAAGATTTAGATAGATTGATCACATATCATCCTCTAAATTAATGTTTTTTTTTTTAATTTCAAAATACAAAATCAAATTTTTTATGGTGTTTGTTTAAATCAGAGATTCAAAATATCTTAATCTCCATATTTAAATTGCTTTAATTGTAAAATGTGATACATACAAGATCAAGATAGATTTATCACATATCTACCCTAAATTAATGATTTTACTTTTTTTTAAGTTTCAAAATACCAAATCCTAAAGTTGCGGCTGATTTAATTATTAAACGATATTTTGCAATCATAGATTCGGATTATCTTCAAATTCAAAATTTAAATTGTCGATATGTAGACAAATTTGAACAGATTAAATAAATATGATCCCTAAAATGAAGGAATTTATTCCATTAAAAAACATAAAATATGAACTTAGGATGTAGATTTTATTATGCATATGTGATAATAAAATTTTACATGATATGAAAGTCATATTGTTTACCCGTGCATCGCACGGGCTATGCACTAGTTAATTTGAAAAATGTGAGATGATTAGTTGTTAGTAGAATTTTAAGAATGTATTAAAATAATATTTAAAATAAAATGATTAAAATTGATTTGATGTAAAAATATGAGATATATGATTGGAAATTATAGATAGTTAAAATTACGTGAGTGAATGAATAGAATTAAAATTGATGTGATGTAAGAATGATTAGAATGAGTGAATGATTAGAATTAAAATTGATGTAATGTAAGAATGATTGATTTGTATTATTTAATTATATGAAGATCGTATAATTGAATTAAAATTGAGTAAGATTTTGAGTATAAAATAATTGTGAGTAAAATAATTCATAAACAATGAATTCGAAGGTATCAGGAATGGAAATGGTGCAGTTTAATTTGAGTATTCAAACGAACAATCTACAAAATTTAATTTATTACTGTACTGAGTTTTATTGGTTTTTGTGTTGCGAATTGACGGTTTGGGAAAGTGGAGCTAATAATCCCCCTCATATATTAATTCAGAACGCGCTGAGTCTATGTGGCAGGCTCGCATGCTTCGACAACCTATGTGGCAAAATTATATACTTCGTTATTAAGTTCATATTATCTTTAAATATGTTGATTGTTTATGATAGGGGTGGACGCGGTCCGGGACGGTCCTGAATTTGACTTGTCCGGATACCGATTCCACTTTTATGAATCGGTTTATGTACGGTTCGGGATGAAGCACTGTCCCCACTCATGTAATATATGGGTGTTGTACTAGTGGATATTTAAATATCAATAACGCTATGGTGAATTAGAATCGAATTTTTAAAATAGTCGTTGAAATTCGAATTTTATCGACCGAGAAATCAAAAAAGGGAGATATGTTAAAGACACTATATAAATTGTAGAAAAAGATAAATACTACTCATTAGCAAAAACCAATAAAGATTTATTAACGCCCCTTCAATTGTGTGATTT